GCTGCCACCACCGTGCTTCACAGGAGGGATGGTGTGTTTGTGGTGATGTGCAGTGTTTGGTGTCCAACAAACATAGCATCCACTTTAATGGACAAAAAGCCTAATTTGGTCTCATCAGATCAAAGAACCTTCTTCCAGTTGACTTCAGAGTCTCACACCTTTCTTCTGGTGAACTCTGGTCCTGATTTAATGTGAGCTTTTTTCAACACTGGCTGTTTTTTTTCGGTGCCATTGTCTGCTGTCTAGTCCATAACAATGTTGGTGGCGTCTCATTGTGGTTGTCCTGCTCTCCAGACAACAGACACAAACCAAGAATGAAAGGTGTAGAGAAGAAACCTGCCAGGAATCAGTCGGTGGAAGCATCCTGGCTGCTTGCTGTCGTGCTTTTTTTGTTCCACGTTTGTGGAGTTGTTTGTACTCGGATGTTTACAGCTTTCTTCACCATTTCCAGCCTTTGCACTCCTGAACATTACAGCTGTGACGTCTGTGAGGGTCGAAGGTTTCAGGGTGAAGATTAGGAGACATGAGGGAAAGGGAGGTAAACATGAGCATAACAGATCCTAACAGCAAAGCCTGATGAAACGACATAAAACACACGAGCTTGGGACTTTTCTCAAAGCTAAACAGACACTGATTTGGACTTTGTGTGAATTCCAGGCCAAAGAAAAAGATGAAATCCTCGAAGATGAAATAAGAAAATGAACTAGTTTAAACTCCAAACTTGACAGAAGGAGCTGCTGTTGAACCCCCGTCGTGTTTTTCCAGGTGCCAAAGCCCGGAGACGCCCACGCCGCCCACGCAGAGACTCCCCAGGAGGTTCTCGGAGCCATGAAGCAGGTCTCCTACAAGACGGAGATCATCGGAGGAGTCCCCATCATCACAGCCACTCAGGTAGCGCCGTCGGCAGGTCCGGTCCTGCCTTCGCTGGTATGCAGAATGTGACTCGGCACGCAGCAGCACAGGCCTGGATTCTACCAAGGGTTTAGAACACCCACATTTAGCTGCTCACAGTTGGGAAATTAAATCATTCTTTACATTTATTAAAAGGGAACCGGCTGCTTACGGGGTTTGGGAACGACGTCACCTCTGCAGCTACATTAGCCACCGTTAGCATCAGACTGTGGTGAAGCTGCGTTAATTTGAATCATATGATTATCTTTATTATTTGCATATTTTTTTTTACATGTGTGATCTGATATTTATGTCCCTGGTGTTCATTTTTTTTAAACACTTTGAGTTCTACCTCGAAAAGTGCGACATAAATATGATTATAATCATAATTTGACATGTTTTGGTGAATTACAGGAAACACTGACGAGTAGAAAAATATTTAAATCAGATTTTTAAATAAAATAAATGACTTATTTTTTAAATGCAGGCATTGCACATCATTAGACAGAATGTGTCACAAGTAAAAAATGCATGAATCATTCTCCAGCAGATGTGCAGGATCACATCATAAACGCCTTCAAACGTGCAAAAGGATGAAAGTTATCCCATTCAGAATGATGTGCGTTAACGCAACGGGTCAGGGTTGGACAAGGATTTAGAAAGTACAGAATGTAAACGGTGATGTTTCTGGTTCTGGAGCTGAATGATGACGAGCAGTTGTTCCAGTATCAGAGATCTACAGTTTAGTTCTAGTGTAACATATCTTTAGTTTTCCCTCTCTTAAACATGTCTTTATTGTTCTTTTTAGATGATTAAATTGGGTTTAAACAGGTCAGAACGATGTCTGGATTTAGGGTTCTGACTCGGTGAAGTGACGTAGCAGAGGTCTGTGGTTACATCAGAAGCTACGGCGAGTCGGAGGTGGTTCGGTTTTCCAACATGCTACGATTCTGCAGCTGTACCTGGAGATGAGCGCGTCACATTCGCTGCTCTCTCTCTGCCACAAATGTTTAAATGCTCTAAAAAAAAGTCGAACGTTTAGCAGCTGAAGAGACAAAAGTCCAAATGGATGTAGCTCTGGATGTTCTGGATGTGTTTCTGTCAGTCCTCTGAGACGATGTCAGACGTCCTCCGTGTCCGTGTGCTCCAGGAGCAGGGCGAAGGGCAGAACGGCGCCGAGCGAGGCGGCGTGAAGCGAGGCCAGAACCAGCTGCCCTACTTCCTGTCCAGAGGAGCTCAGGATCAGGCCGTCGTCAAGGCTGGATACTGCGTCAAGCAGGGAGCTGTGGTGAGAATGACCAGCGTGACAAAAGCTTTCTCATTAGTCCAGACACCTACAGGTCACAGATATGGTAGAGTCAGCAGTTTGTGTATTAACATCTGGTGTATTTTTACATTTATATTCAGATTATTGGGACGTTTTTGCGTTTAATTTCCAGGTTACTGACACTTTTGTGCGTTATTATCCAGTTTATTGAGACATTTGTGGATTACTATCCAGGCTACTGATATTTTTTATGTTTATATCCAAGTTATTTACACTTTAATGGATTAATATCCAGCTCATATACACACATTGTTACTTTTTTGTGTTAATATCCAGGTTATTTAAACTATTTAGCATTATTATCCAGTTTAATGAGACTTTCGTATAGTCATATTCAGGTTATTGACACATTTGTGCATGAATATCCAGGTTGTTTTCCTATTTTTTTATGTTAATATCCAAGTTATTTACACTTTAATGCCTTCATATCCAACTCATATACACATAACAAATGTTCTTATCTGGGTTAATGGTGTTTTTTTATGGTAATATCCAAGTTACTGTTACTTTTGTGCATTATTTACCAGTTTATTGAGACTTTTGCATACAAATACTTCGGTGATTTTCACTTTTGTGCATTAATGTTCTCATCATTGACACTTCTGTGTGTTCATATCCACGTTATTGATGCTTCTCTGCCTTGATATCCACGTTATTGGCAATATTTACTGTTAATATGCAAGTTACTGATACTTGAATGTTTTAATATCCAGATTATTGCCACCCCTGTGCCCCGATATGAAGGTTTTTATTACTAAATGTTCTCCAGAGGATGTTGTGTTGAGCGTTAACTCTTCTTGTGTTGTTCCAGATGAGGAACTGGAAGAGGAGGTACTTCATGCTGGATGAAAACGCTGTCAGCTACTACAAGTCTGACCTGGTGAGGAAACGTGTTTTCTTCTCATTCGAGTGAAGCGATCCTTTAAGAAATCGTGTGACCCGGTTACTGAACGGCTCATAAACACATCAGTCATCTTACAGTTCAGCACCAACATTTACAGTCAACATGTGGACACGTCGCCTTCAATAGGAGTGAAGTAAAACCAGCGGCGATGCAAGAATTCAGAGTGTGTGTGAGTGTGTGTGAGTGTGTGTGAGTGTGTGTGTGTGAGTGAGTGTG